AATTAAGCAACTTTCAAATTTGATCATGTTGTGGTCGCGGACTCACAGTTAAAAGTCTAGAGAAAGAAAAGAGGAAAAGATGATAAAATCAAATAACTATTAGTTTAGAAACTAAATCCATGTCTTAAATATATTTTTCTTATTTTTTACTTATATTTTTCTTATATTATATTTATAAAAACAAACTTTTGACTAAATTATAATATTGATCATCGGATTGTCTTTATACGGGTACATAGTTTGGAAGACCAATACTTGACAAGTAATTGACCAATATCAAGCCACTAGTTCTCATCGTCTATATCTTACAATTTTCAAAACCAAAGATATAAAAGAGTATTGACTAATTGAGCTGATCGGTTCACTTATTAATAATTAGATATCTTATTCCTCGCATATTAACATTGTTACATTGTATTGGTTGACTCCATAGGAAGAAGATATATATGGAAAAACTTCTACCGTGAACAATATGATTCCTTAGCAAAGGATTATAAGTCCAATGATAGTACCAAAGACATATAGTTTTTTAATAAAGTTAAGCAATTAATTACAATACAAACACAAAGCCTTCTTCCGCGAAAAAGCCTTCTTCAGCGAAATGGCCCGAACCCATGTCTGTTGTGGTGTGTTGGCCATACATGCCATTGTTTGTAACCTCGCCACCCCACTGCACCAACCCCGTCAGACCGTAGATGGGTAAATAGCTTGGAAGACCAATACCAGACAAGAGATTGGCCAATTCCAAGCCACCACAAAAGCAAGTCCCTAACTGATATGGAATGTGGACAGATTTTTATAGACTAAACTTTTATATGAAATCAATGAAATTACTTTGATATAGATCCATGTAATATACCGTCCAGTAGACGAAAAGTCATGGGTCGCTGTCATGGTAATGGTTCGGGTAAACCTAAAAATTAGAATAAACAAATACATTTTAATCATAAGAAAAAAAAATCTATGGTTTTTATGATATATTGATCTTAAAAGAAAACAAACAAATAGTTGATTATATTGAATTATATTTTTATTTTTATCTTTGAGCGAGTAGACTGAGTAACAATGAATTATGATAAATACAAAAGGAGAAACGAGTGAAAATACCTCCCATCCTGCCTCTACTATGTTTAGGTCCAATCCGTTGTAGTGTCCAGGGACTAGCCAGATCTTAGAAAGACTAAATTCGTTTCAACTATCGGGTCCCAAATGTTTATGATAGCATGTGCTCCATATATAAACTTTGTGGTATATGCGATGGCATACTATGAAATTTTTAATACAGTTAATCAGCAAAACTAAATTGTATATATAAAGATTTCATTTTTAGTTTATTTTTAAATAGTTACCTCGTGTCTCTGCCCAGCAGCATAATAGGGAAATTCTTGACGACTACATCGGACATCAGTCACATGTTTCTTTTGCCCAATGCGTCTGTCCCCGGGTCTATTCCATCTTACAGGTGCTGTTTGGTCGGGACAATATGTCCCATTTTGATTCCACACTTGCCGTATTTTTTCTAAAAATATATATATATATATATATTATATATATTAGATCAAAGAGAATAGAAAATTGGATAAAAAATTATCAATGAGAATAAAAAAGAAAATTTGATTCTCCCATCAAAAATAGATCCAAAATTCTTTAAAATAAACAACTCAAGGAAAAGAGGATTAAATAACCTGAAAAATATGATTTTTGAGCAAGGGATTACTGAACGCTGGCTGGTCGTGTATCTCGACGCAATCTAATTATGTCCCCACCAGAACTCTTCCAAATTAAGTAAATAAAAGTCAGTGCCAATAGCAATTGAAATACAAAAAAAAATACTAAATATAAAACAAAATAAATAACTTTTGTGGTTACCTCGATTGTTATCAGAGGACTTGGTGCTGCCCTGACTCCTATAGTTATGATTAGAAGCAGTTTTGAAAAAAAAAATTATAGTATTTATAAATATATAGAATTTTTTAAATATTATTTATTAAAAATTATTAGTCAGTGAACTAAATCTAATATTCTCTGATACCAGTGCAACTAATGTTTTTTTTTTAAATTTGTTTACTTGTTTTTCAATTCATGTAACATACTTATTCATAAAAATTATATAAACAACACTATTTTTACAAATATTACCATTGTTATCAAATAAATATAAATTAATTTTATATATAAACTTTAATAAAATCATATAATATATAAAAAACTAATAAAAATATAAGTAAAAATTCAGAAAATATAAGTAAAAACTAATAAATATATAAGTAAAATTATATAAAATTTAAGTAAACTATTATTGTTTAAATGTGAAATTTTGTAGTAATAATTGATTTTAATAAATTATGATTGATTATGATCAAACTGTTGGTGATAATATTAACAAATATTGCTATACAATTAAATTTATAAAATTATCTTTAATAACTATTAATGTAGTTGAACTAGTAAAAATATAATAATATCTTTTCTATATTTGTGAAAATCTACTTTAACATTCAATATAATATTATTTAATAATTAATATATAAAATGGCACAATGTTGTGTATATAAACTTTCGACTAATAAACCACACAAAAAACCTCTTAGTTTTCTTTAGCTATAGATTTACTAAACCAATACTATTATGTGTTTAGTTTGGACTTGAGCTTAAGTATTAGATTGCATTTAGGGATAACATCTTTTCGTATAATCGTCTCGAACCTATTGTGGAAATAGGTTCCCACAAAGTAACATCACCATCAGATTTGAACCCAACATAAGTCTTATAAAAAACTAAAAAAAAAATGCATGAGGGCATAATAGAACTTGGGAAAGGCCAGTTAGATGTTAAGGGATCAATTCCACAAAGTCCCCCATAGTTAACTAAGCAGTCTATTTGCTGACAATTTTTTTTGTACCAAGGCAAACTTAGTCGGTGGACTCAAATAATAAACGACGACGAGTCGCAACTGAAAGATTTTTCAGGGTTATCTAGCAAAGTGGATCCACGACAGATGTTAGATTTTTACTCTATATTTGAAGTAAAATAAAAATATCTCTCTATAATTTACAATATAATAAAGTAATTCTATTATAAAGTTAACCATTGGTAAATTCAACTTTAGATTTACTCTATTTTTGTGTAAAATATAGAAAAAGGAATAATGTTGGCAAGTATACTATATATTTATGACCGACTCTGAACAAAAAAATGTGTCAGACTCTGAAATTAAAAAATGCAAGTGGTTCTAAAACACTAGTAAAACATGGCCCCTCCCAAATAGAGCAAATCCACAGGTTTGCTAAATAAAGCAATAGCAGTTTCCAACTAAATTTAAAGCCATTTCTTCTTACAGGCTTACAGCTACAAAGCCTACCTCGTACGGACGATAAACTACATGTCTCCTTCACGTGGTTCAATAGCCATATAGCATAAACATCGATCTCATGGCTCGACACAACTGACTATCTGCGATGCTTTTACTAATGAGGGACCATGTAACAGAGATACACACGTGAATAAGTGACGCAAACTGGTTACACGTTCACGTATCCTTTTTGATCTTAACCGTCCGATTGACTGTTAAAGACTGAACACATGAGACAGTCTACGTTTTTGGTAATTCATTTAATATATGTATATATGATCTTGTCTCATAATTGTTCAGCTCGTTGTAGCCATTATTATTTGCAAGTTCAAATCTGAATTCAGAAATTCAAATATAATTACAGACTTACAGTCTAAATAATATATTTCATACGTTTTTGACTAAAATTATATTTTCTTATTTTTTTGACAAAAATATATTTTCTTATTGCTTGAACAAGTTCGAATTAAGCAATAATTTCCGATACATCTCACTTGGATACTCGATTAATGACTCTCAATGTGAGACGTATTTTTGTTCTCATAACTAGTGCAATGCAATGTGAGCGACTCAATCATATAAAAAGCTTCAAATACGCAATTACAAAAATATTTTTGAATAAAATGAAATATTGATCCAATTTCACTTCTTGCAAGACAAAACCTCGAACAAGCATTTGACGCTTGTTTCAACAAAAAATAAAATAAAACAACCATTTGTTGTTTTTAATAGGCTGCGCCACAATAACGGCAGTAACACGATTATTAGAATACATGGTAAAGTGTCAAATCCAAATTCGGCTAATAAGAAATGTGTGTCACCATGATTATAGCTGTCATCAATAATTGACAATATGATCTTATTTTGTCCTTTTCTAATAATAGATCGGTTTAGAGTTACCTCTAAAATCTTATTTAATTTGTGTATAACAATCTAGATTAAAACTCATTGTAAATTCAATTCGTATCTAAGTACTTTATATCTGCATCAAAGTATTGGCTTATTATAGCACAGGTCGGAACGGTAATGAGTGTATATTTTGTCTATATCATAACTATAACTATAAAGCACATGTCGATAGTTTTATGAATGATAGTCTCAGGGTTCAATTTGTACTGATATTATCGCTTATACTTATGAATCATGACCGTATTAATTACCTTTTTAATTTGTACTTACATATGTACTCACGGTCAACTTTTTGTTCACTAATTCCGCGGCCTAGTATACATTTATTAAATACTAAAACTTATTACATTATGTAATTTTGTAACTATCACTAATGAGGTAAACTATTAATTCGTCATATGATATTATCAGTTAGTCAAGTAATGTTCTAGAACCCAAAATTACATAATCGTTCTAAGCTAGCTTTGGATCCTTGTCACAAAGATTATAGATTCCAACGTCGTGATCGAATTTTATAAAACGTTGATTTTCCATCTTGAATGATTGTGATTTACAAAAGAAGCCCTAATTAAGATACTCATAATCTCTCTCTATATAAGACCAATTAGCCAGTTATGATTCAGTCCTTCTAGTTCATGTATATATATATTATCCAAGTCTATTCCATTTATTAAGTTTTCTTTTTTATAAAAAAAAAAAAAGACGAAACAATAACAGTTCAAGAGAAAAACAAGACAAAACAATAGTTCAAGACACAAAAAAAAAAAAAAAACTGTGGATGGAGTAAAGTAGAGGGATATTACATAACAAAAATACAAAAGAATGGGTACGTATAAATAGCTAGATACGAACGTACATTTATCGATGTTGTACAATATCATCAAGCTGCCCGTGATTATAATTGACCATCATAGACTGACCTTGCTGCTGCTGCTGTTGTGGCTGCGACTGTAGAGGCGGCTGCGAACTCGATTGAGTTATTTGCGCGTTACTGACTCTTTTCCTCTTCTTCTTATAGCTAACGCCACGTGCTCTAGCCTGGTAATCTCTAACCTCCCTTAGAAAAATCCTAACTGAACGTGAGCCAAAAGGGCTAACCTCTGGAACTCCACCGTTCTCCTCGTAGGCGGCACGAAGACGACCGATAAGGGCGTCAAGTGAGCCCCAAGCTTGTCGGAGAGGACAAGGACAAGGAGCAGGAGGATTTGGGAGGCCAAAGAAAGAGCAGTTTTGGTGGTGGACTTTGGTTTTTCCAAACTGGTCAATGTAACGCAGGAACTCAAGGACGTGTTCGCCGCTGCAAGACGGTAGAGAGAGTGGTGGACGATGGTTTCTAAGGTATTGGCAGAAAGTGTTCCAATCACGGCGTTTCTGGTTCTCGTAGCGGCTAGAGGAAGGTGTAGAAGACGAAGAAGACAAAGGATGTCGTGTTGAGAGAGTGGTATTAGGGTTTTTGTTTTTGTGCTCTTGAGAGATCAAATCCATACTTAAAAAAAAAAAGATATGTGTATAAACTAGGGTTGGAAAGATTAGGTTTCTTTTCTTGATTTGGGAAGGTTTGGGCAGAAAATTTTGGCTTTTAGTACCTCATAAAAAAGTGAAAAAAATTAGGTTTTGGAGACTTGGATGTAGGGTTCTTGGCTCATTAATATCAAAATAGTTAAAGAAAAAAGAGATGGATAGAGGACATATATAATACTTCCTTGTACTACTGAAGTAGGTGCTACAAAAAGATGTATTAGAAAATTGATGGTGATGGTGTTGTGCAGAAATGGTGAGGCAAAGAGGAACAACCTGCAAAAAAGGAAGAGAGACACTACAAGAAAGCATTGCATACTCCGATGATGAGTACTGATAATTTATTTTGTCGGAAAATTTGTGACACAGTTGCATCAACGTTCCGAGAACATGCAGATTTCGTCGGAAGATTCTTGGAACTTCCCGATAAATCAAGTTTCTCGGTTATTTCCTGTAATGAATTGTCGGTATCTTGTCAAAAATAAAATTATTTNGACACTACAAGAAAGCATTGCATACTCCGATGATGAGTACTGATAATTTATTTTGTCGGAAAATTTGTGACACAGTTGCATCAACGTTCCGAGAACATGCAGATTTCGTCGGAAGATTCTTGGAACTTCCCGATAAATCAAGTTTCTCGGTTATTTCCTGTAATGAATTGTCGGTATCTTGTCAAAAATAAAATTATTTCTGATAAAACAGATTTTGTCGGTAACGTCTCGGTAAGGCCAAATTTATTCTCGGTAAAGCGTCAGAAAATCGTCCTAGTTCTCACGCTTAGACTGAATCCTTTCCGACAAAATAACAACCAAGATATTAATCGGAAACTCATTAGTCTTCTCTCAGAGATTACAGACAATGGATGATTCCTGGAAATTTGTCGAAGGTTTGACAGAAAATCATCGGACAGTTTTGACAACGATGAAAATCATTTTAGCAAAACGGTTGTGTTTTGGCATAAAGACTTTTTATATCATAACTTATCTATAAATGAATGGCCAAGAATAATTAGATAATCTTTTTACTTTTACACTTTTATTTCCTCTAAGTTTTTATCTATAAACGAAAGGTCAAGAAGAAGAGTTACATAATTTGTCCATCTCTTTCCTTTGTTCTTTTATTTTTTCTCCGCTTCTTTTTATCTTTCTTCCAGCTCTGTCTCTTTAGATCTGTTTTCAGATCTTCTCCTCCCCACCACCGCTCCTTGTTCCGACTGCTCCTTGAACCGCCACCGCTCCGTAGACCGCCACTCTTCCTTACACCGAAATTCCTGTAACCCTTTGCATCCCCACCGGCCACCGCCACCATAATTCTTTGCATCACCACTGCCGCAGAGCACCACCGCCGTAACTCTTTGCATCACCACCGCTGTAGAGCACTTACACCGTAACTCTTTGTATGACCACCGCTGTAGAGAACCGCCGCCGTAACTCTTCACATCACCACGCCACGACTTCAATTTCTGACTCACATCCACCAGTACCGGATTCACGGCCTCCATTGCACCGTACACCATCATCTCCATCGAATTCGTTGTTTTTTTTTTTTGTCAACAATTCGTTGTTAATAATAGAATTAGTTCTTTTGTTTAGTTTTCTTTGTTTTAAATTATATATTTAATTTTCATGCAATGAATATTTGATGATTTTGAATATTAGTTTTACAAAATTTAATTTTATTTTTTTTATTTAAATATATTCAGTTGTCAGAAATCTCTAGGAATTGATTTCTCAGAAAATTTATCGGTATGTTCCGAGATAAGTATTTCCGACAATAATTGTGATCGGAAATTACCGACAATCTTTCGATAAAGGGAGTTTCCGAGACCCAAACGCCGACAAAAACTTAGCTTGTCGAAAAATAATCGGAAACACTCATTTCCGATAAATATCCGTTAAATTCAGCCGTCGGGTATCACTACTCTTTCTTGTAGTGNAATTTATCGGTATGTTCCGAGATAAGTATTTCCGACAATAATTGTGATCGGAAATTACCGACAATCTTTCGATAAAGGGAGTTTCCGAGACCCAAACGCCGACAAAAACTTAGCTTGTCGAAAAATAATCGGAAACACTCATTTCCGATAAATATCCGTTAAATTCAGCCGTCGGGTATCACTACTCTTTCTTGTAGTGAGATATTAAGTGGAAGAGATCAAAATTGAATTATTACTTCTAATTTCTATTATTGTCTTTTATTTTTTGTTTTTCTTCTTTTCTATTAGAGAGAGAAGATGGATAGTATAATGCATTGACAGTTGCACACATATATAGCTGCAAAACATCATAAGCTCACTTATATAGTGAGAGAGAAAGAGATACAGATACCCAGTCTGATCATCAAAAATCATAAATTTTCCATTTAAGATACAACACAGGAAGAGAAATAGGAGAATAGGACTTAGTGTTACACAGTGTATATTAAGAGACCTCTCTGTAGGTTAAAAGAGAGAGACGGTGACTAATGGTCAATTGGAGAAAAGAGATGCAAATCTTTTCGTGATTTTCTTATGGCCATATTTTCAATACTTTATTTATTTATTAATAGTTGATTCCGGACCAAAGTTCACATGTGGAATAGCTGTGTATATTGCTTGTGTAATCATCATAAGCTACCAAAAATCAATCAAACCTGGTCTCTTCAAAGTGAATAAACACGAGGTAGAGGTACAACAAAAAGAAGCTAGTACAACCTTTTTAAAAAAAAAAAATGTATGTATATATATATACCAAAAGCTTACATCTTGATTCGCATGCTCTGCCTTAGTCTCAAGAGGTCATTGTCAACACGTGGAGGTCCTAAACCAGCACTAATAGTAGGAGGAGGAGGAGGAGCACCACCACCATTGTTAACCAAATTCTGCATTTGGGAGTTCCCATTCTGCTGAGACATAGTCCCTTGGTTCGGAACCTGTCCCGACATGTGAGCCTGAACATTCATGTAAGCAACTTAAGTCTTCTTCTTCTTCGCCTTGTTCTAGCTCTTCTCTTAATTAACACTAACAAACACTGCATAACTCCAGAAGTCACAAAAAAAAAACCCAAGTTTCATTTCCTGATTAGCTCCTCGTCCTCCTCCTAGAAATTGACACGAATGATAAGCTATTAAGCTCCAAAAGTAACCAATTATAGAAATGAAAAAACCCTAAAAAAATTCACACACCTAACCTTTGAATTGACACACAAAGGAGCAATCTTGAGCAAGAAGGAGCGGTTGGTAGTGAATTCACGATGATGAGACAAAGTCGGTGAAGAGGCGATGTGGCCACGTGTGAGCTCAAAGCAAAGTCGAGGTTAGAGATTAGGATCGAGATCAAGTAGGTGAACAAAGATGGGAAAGTGGAAAAGCGAATGAAGATAAGTTTTTCCCCAAATCAGGGGATTTTTGTCAACTTTCCTTTCTGAGGATTTGTTCTAAAAGAGTAACCAAAAAAAAAAACACTAGACATTAAAATATTAATTTCATGCCTGAATGTGATAATTGGCGCAACCATAATAATGATCAATTGGATAAAAGAGATGCAAATCTTTTCGTGATTTTCTTAAGGCCATATTTTCAATACCTTTTTATTTATTTATTAATAGTTGATTCCGGACCAAAGTTCACATGTGGAATAACTGTGTATATTGCTTATCTAACTAATTTATTTTCTGAAAATGTGATTTATAATATATTACTCCTATTCATTTGCATGTTTCATTTAAATTACTGTTTTTGATTGGTAATGTGATTTTACCCATGTGTTTCAAATCTCTTAAAGAGAGCATATTAAAACTCTTAAAATATATAGTTTCACAAAGGTGCTTTGGCTGAAATGTGTTGTATAATTCAGTTCAACAATTATGTATTAATCTAACTTATTACTCTTTACTTATTTTATACAAATTAAAGCTTATACTAACTTTTTTTTGAGATACTAACTTAGTTGCCCACTAATAAGATCACAATTAGTCAATTAGTATTAGGATGTAAGGAATTCTTGTTTCGGCATATACTTTTTGATTGATCAATCTACTTAAGTCATTTACAAAAAAATAATTCTGCCCAAATTTTGTCGTTATCTTTCTTGTTATCTGGGAACCTTTGTATTTGGATTTATCGTTGAAGTATTATTCAGAAAAGAGTGTGTGAGATCCTTTGTGTTATTATAATCAGCTTTTTGAAATGGATAAGATTCTTATGTGATTGAAAAGTAGACTTACCTCCTCATGTTGTACTAACTGTTAGAGTCGATTGGTTTTTGGCTATTGTTATAGATGGCAAAGAACAAAGAGAAAGTTGATTCCGGATTGGAAATTGATGATGCCGATTTGATCTTGAAAGTCACCACTTCAAACATTGAGAAAGATACAATAGTAAGTTTAATGAATGAGTTTTTCTTTCTAAATAAGTTTATTTACAATGTGATTTTCAATTTTGACGCAGGGTATTGATAAAGCCAACCGAAAAAAACACAACTGGCATAAAAAAACACCAAAGCTTCAAATTCAGTTGATGAATAAAGAAGGCAACTCATGGCATACAACACTCATCTTTAGCAAGGCCCGGGGCCGGCATACTATAATTGGAGGTTGGAAAACATTTTGCAACGACAACAAACTAGAGGATGGTGATACCTCTATGTTTAGGAAAATTGAAGAAGTAGGACATACCCTTACCTTTCAACTGGTAAGTGTGGTAAAGGCGAATGGACAAGAACAGGAGGAACAACCAGACAACCTTCCTGAGCCTGAAGTTGTTCACATTGGAAAGCAAAAATGCTCTCAAATGCAAAGCCAAATCAGGGTTAGTATATTATAGTACAAGTTATGGTTTATAAACATCAACTAACTTATCTATACGCTGACTAATAATGCAATCGCAGGAGTTGAGGTCCGGGTCAAGTTACATTAAGGAAGAAATTATGAAGCTTCAAGAGAACTATAGAGAACAGTTCAACCAATTAGGTGAGGGAATAACTGAAC